GGGCGCTGGCCGAGGGCGGGCGGCTCTGCGCCAGCGACCTCCACCTGCTGCTCAACCTGCTGGGCGGCGGGGCGGGCGCGGGGGCGGGCGAGGTGTGGACCCCCGTGTGCTTGCCACGTTCGCGGCAGCGGGCGCTGGCCGAGGGCGGGCGGCTCTGCGCCAGCGACCTCCACCTGCTGCTCAACCTGCTGGGCGGCGGGGCGGGCGCGGGGGCGGGCGAGGTGTGGACCCCCGTGTGCTTGCCACGTTTCAACCCCGACGGGTATTTCTACGCGTACGCGGCGCGGCTGGGCGAGGAGGAGGAGGAGGAGGGCGTGACGCTGATCCTGCTGTCCACGGAGCGAGAGGGATTCTACGCGGCGGCTGCGTGCCGGCGGCAGCTGGAGGACACGCTGCGGGCGCAGGGCTGGCTGGCCGAGCTGGCGGCGGCTGTGCGAGGGGGAGCGGGGTACGGCCCCTCCCGCCCCGGCGCCCCCGAGCTCCGGCACTTCCTCTACAAGCCCTTGGAGGGGCCGGAGGAGATGCAGCAGCTGCCGCAGTTCACCAGGTGTGGGGATAGGGGGGACACACCAGAATTGCGGGATGGGTGTGTCCCTGACCTTCGCCTGACGCTTTTGTTCCCCGTCCCTCACTGGCCGCAGCCCCGAGCTGGAGGAGCCCTACACCAGCGAGGAGGAGCAGCACCGGCTCTTCGACCTGTACCACTACCTGCACAGCCGCGTGCACAGCCCGCACCGGCCCCTGCGCCTGCTCTACCACGTGGCTGAGAAGGAAACGCTGCTGGCCTGGGTGAGCCGCGGGGAAGGAGCCGTCAGCAGGGCCCAGAGCCAGCAGCACCTGTTTGTGCTGTCCTGAGAAGGTTCCAGAGTTAGTGGGGGTCGCTGGCTGGTGTGCTGTCGGTAGATCCTGCAGTTAACAGGATGCTCGGTGTCAGTAGATCCCACAGTTAATGGGATGTTTGGTGTCGGTGCTGTCAGTAAACCTCACAATTAATGGGATTTTCACTGGCAGTGCCATCAGTAGATCCCACAGTTAACAGGATTTTCGCTGGCAGTGCCATCAGTAGATCCCACAATTAACAGGATTTTCACTGTCAGTGCCATCAGTAGATCCCACAGGTAACAGGATTTTCGCTGGCAGTGCCACCAGTAGATCCCACAGGTAACAGGCGTGGGTTCCCACAGGTGACCAGCAAGTTCGAGCTGTACAGCTGCTTCAGCCCACTGGTGACGAAGGCGGGCGCCATCGCCGTGCTGACCAAGCTGCTGCGCTGGCTCAAGAAGGAGGAGGACTGGCTGTTCATCCGCTACCCGGCACCGTTCTGCGCCGCGCCCGCGCGCCCCGAGGGGCCCGAGCCCGAGGGCTGACAATAAACACTGAGACCCCAGGGAGAGTCCTGAGTCCGGGGGGACTGAGGGGTCAGGGGACACAGCCTGAGGGGTGAGGGGACAGGGGACACGGCCTGAGAGGTGAGGGGATGTGGGGACACAGCCTGAAGGTGAGGGGACAGGGGGACATCCTGAGGAGTGAGGGGACAGGGGAACAGGGCCTTAAGGGTGAGGGGATGAGGGGACATGGCCTGAGAGGTGAGGGTACAGGGGGACAGGGGACACAGCCTGAGGGGTGAGGGGACAGGGGGACAGGGCCTTAAGGGTGAGGGGATGAGGGGACATGGCCTGAGGGGTGAGGGGACAGGGGACACGGCCTGAGAGGTGAAGGGATGTGGGGACACACCCTGAAGGTGAGGGGACAAGGGGACATCCTGAGGGGTGAGGGGACAGGACCTTAAGGGTGAGGGGATGAGGGGACATGGCCTGAGAGGTGAGGGGACAGGGGGACACAGCCTGAGAGGTGAGGGGATGAGGGGACGGGGGACACAGCCTGAGGGGTGAGGGGACAGGGGACACGGCCTGAGAGGTGAGGGGATGTGGGGACACAGCCTGAAGGTGAGGGGATGAGGGGACATGGCCTCAGGGGTGAGGGCATGAGGGGACACAGCCTGAGGGTGAGGGGATGGGGGGACACGGCCTGAGGGGTGAGGGGACAGGGGGACATCCTGAGGAGTGAGAGGATGTGGGGATATGGCCTGAAGGTGAGGGGATAAGGGGACACGGCCTGAGGGGTGAGGGAATGGCAGGGACATGGCCTGAGGGGTGAGGGGATGGCAGGGCCATCCTGAGGGGTGAGGGGACGGCAGAGACATGGCCTGAGGGGTGAGGGGACACATCCTGAGGGGTGAGGGGATGGCAGAGACATGGCCTGAGGGGTGAGGGGATGAGGGGACATGGCCTGAGAGGTGAGGGGACAGGGGGACACAGCCTGAGAGGTGAGGGGATGAGGGGACAGGGGACACAGCCTGAGGGGTGAGGGGACAGGGGACACGGCCTGAGAGGTGAGGGGATGTGGGGACACAGCTTGAAGGTGAGGGGATGAGGGGACGGGGGACACAGCCTGAGAGGTGAGGGGATGAGGGGACGGGGGACACAGCCTGAGAGGTGAGGGGATGAGGGGACGGGGGACACAGCCTGAGAGGTGAGGGGATGAGGGGACGGGGGACACAGCCTGAGAGGTGAGGGGATGAGGGGACGGGGGACACAGCCTGAGAGGTGAGGGGATGAGGGGACGGGGGACACAGCCTGAGAGGTGAGGGGATGAGGGGACGGGGGACACAGCCTGAGAGGTGAGGGGATGAGGGGACGGGGGACACAGCCTGAGAGGTGAGGGGATGAGGGGACGGGGGACACAGCCTGAGAGGTGAGGGGATGAGGGGACGGGGGACACAGCCTGAGAGGAGAGGGGATGAGGGGACATGGCCTGAGGGGATGAGGGGATGGAGTGACACGGCCTGAGAGTTGATGGGGTGATGGAAGGGGTGAAAGGAGATGAGAACAGCATCAGAGAAGGGGGAAAAGGGAACAGAAAATTAGAGGAATGCAGGAGGGAAAACGGAGAGAAAACCTGAAAGAAAAGGTGGGTAAGAGCAGATAGAAAAGAGGGAAAATGGGGCAGAAAAGAGAGGGATGAGGGGACAGAAATCAGTGGGAAAACATGTGAGGAAACAGTGGGAAAATGTGACAGGAAAGGCTGGAAGAGGTGACAAGAAATGGAGGGCATAAATAGACAGGAAAGGGAGCAGAAAAGAGGGAAGAGGATATGATGAAAGAAATGACAGATTGGGGGTGAAAAGGGGATAGAAAATGACATCAGGAAGGGACAGAAACAGCTGGAAAAAGGGACAAAAATTAGGGCAAAGAATGGATGGAAAATGGTGGGAAAATGTGAGGCAGAAAGGTGGAGATATGTGAGACTAAAAGGGTGGGGAAATGTGAGGCGAAAAGGTGGGAAAACTGAAGGGAAATGGCATGAAAACGAGGGGTGAAAGGCAGGAAAACATGAGGGGTAAGGGCGGGAAAAATTAGAGAAAAAAGCAGGAAAATGTGAGTGGGAAAGGGCGGGAAAGCATGAGGGGGAAAGAGCGGGAAAGCATGAGGGGAAAAGAGCGGGAAACTGTGAGGGGAAAAGAGTGGGAAAACATGAGGGGAAAAGAGCGGGAAACTGTGAGGGGAGAAGAGCGGGAAAACATGAGGGGAAAAGAGCGGGAAAACATGAGGGGAAAAGAGCGGGAAACTGTGAGGGGAAAAGAGCGGGAAAACGTGAGGGGAAGAAGGGGGGAAAACCTGAGAGAATGGGAAGGAGAGGAGCTGAGAAAGCTGCAGAAAGAAGGTGAGGGGAAATGGGGGATGAAAAGGGACAAAGTGGAAGGACGTAAGACAAAAAATTGTGAAAAGGGGACTGGAAAGAGGGTGTTGGTGACAGAAAATGGAGCAAGAGGGGAAAGGACTGGAGAGGGAAATGAGGGACAGAAATGGAAGGGACAGAGGTGGCAGGAACTGGAGGAAGGAGGTGACAGAAATGGGAGAAACCCTGGAGAAAAAAGATAAGGAGGGAGGAAATGGTGACACGTGACAGAAAATGCGGGGCTGAGGGTGGAAAAAGGGGATGAGAATGGAAAAAGTGGAAGAGGATGGAAAAAGGGGAAGAGGATGACAAAGGCAACAGGAAGGGACAAGCCAGTGCCCACCATCATCATCCCCTGTGTCTCCCCCATGTACCCATGTCCCCACCATGTCCCTCCAGGCTGCAGTGATGGACCTGGACCCACGCAGTGAGGAGCTCTACGGCCAAGAACCCCCAAGACCACCATGTGTCCCAGTGTCCCCCCGCCCCAGGGACAAGGTGGTCTCAGGTGTCCCCAGGAGAGGCAGTGTCCCTGTGTCCTGCCCAGTTCCCCCCTCAGGTCCCCCTGGGAGGATCCCACAGCTGGAGGCACTGCTGAGGCAGGTGCACAGCGTGCAGACAGGTGAGTGTGAGGACCCCTGTGTTCCCCCATGTTCCCACGTCCCACCTGTCCTCCAATGCTCCCTTGTGTGCCTGCCACGTCCCCCCATGTCCCACGTGTCCCTCTGTCCTTCCCACTGTGTCCCACAGTCCGTGAGGCCACGACACAGGAGCTGGTGAAGGCACAAGACTGCAGTGAGGGGTTGCGCCAGCACCTGGAGCAGCGTGAGTCACCTGGGGGGGACAATGAGAGGTCTGGAGGGGACACTGAGAGGGCCGGGGACACACACAGAGGGGTCTGTGGGGTCCTTGGGTGGTGTGTAGGGACCCTGAGGGGTTTGTGGGGGCTCTGAGCTTATTTCCCCCTCCCCACAGTGGAGCAGCATAAGGAGGCACTGGAGAGGTCCTGGCAGCAGGTGCAGGGTGAGCCCGTGAGGTCCTTGGCTCTTTGGGCCCCCCCCAAAACCTCCCCTGATGCCCCCTGAACCTCTGACCCCCTTGACCACCATGATTCCCTGACCCTTGTGGCCACCCAGAGGGGGTGGGACCCCCTACACAGAGGGACCCCTTTGGCCCCTGTGACCCCCCTGATCCCCCTGACCTTGACCCCTGTGACCCCCCTGGCCCCCCCAGAGTCACTGCAGAGAGCGCAGCTGCAAGGGAAGGAGGTGGATGCAAAAAGTCAGAGGTGAGTGGGGACACTTGTGACCCTCCTCAACCTCACCTGTGCCCACGTGACCTCTGACCCTTCCCAAGCACACCTGGTGGCCCCTGACCCCCCTGCAGGCGCTGCGGGCTCTGCCTGGAGAAGCAGCAGGACCTGGAGGGGACAAAGCAGCAGTGGGAGCAGCTGCAAAACCTGCGCCGGGGACACAGGTGGGGCTGGGGACACAGCCTGGGGGACACAGGTGGGCTGGGGGTGGCACTAGGTGACCCACAGAGGTCATGTGACCACCGTGTCACCTCCTGTGTCCCCTCACCCCCAGATGGCAGCACTGCCAGCAGCTCGAGGCCATCATGGAGGAGCTCAAGCAGCTGCGTGTCACATACGTGAGCCCCGGGCTGGGGTCCCTCACACACCTGGGTGCCCTGGCACACCCTGGCATCATCCCCTTCCCCCTGTCCCCCACAGGCTCCAGCCCACCTGGAGGCTGAACTGGTGCAGCTGGAGAAGATGGAGGAGAAGTGGCTGAGCTGGGGTGAGCCCCTGACACCTGAGTGACCCCTTCGAGCACCTGAGTGTCACTGCTGACATCTGAATGACCCCCGTGACACCTCTGGGCACGTGAGGGACGCCCTTGGACACCTCAGTGACCTCTGCCAACACCTGAGTGACCTCCTGAGCTCCTGACTGACCCTGGGCCACCTGAGCCCCTCTCCCACAAGCCCCCGAGTGACCCCCCTGAACACCTGAGCGCCCCCAAACCCGGGTGTGTCCTCTTGGGCTGACCAGTGTCCCCCCCTTGCCCAGAGCGCCGTGTGATGGATGCCGAGGAGCAGCTGGGCCCAGAGGCACCTGTGCTCAGGTGAGTGCCCACCTCTGGCCCCGCCCCCTCAAGGGTGGCCCTGCCCACTCTGGTCTGTCCCCACCCCCTTTACCATTCTTGCAGGCGATTGGTGCAGCAGGAGCAGGAGGGGGCGGGGCAACAGCTGGAGGTGGAGCTGGGCCGGCAGCAGCTGAGCCTGCAGCGCCGTGACAGGTGTGTGACCCCTGGGGACAGGTTTGTGACCCCTGGGGACAGGTGTGTGACCCCTTCAGGACAGGTGTGTGACCCCCTGTCTGCAAGACAGATGTGTGACCCCTCAGGACAGGGGTGTTACTCCTGGGGACAGGTGTGTGGGACGCCGCCCTGTCACCTGGGCCCCTCAAGGCCCCACCCACATCCAGCCCCACCTCTTCTCTGGCCCCACCCCCAGGTTGGCAGAGGAGCTGCAGATGCTGCAGCGCCCCCAGGAGGCTCTCCCAGAGTGACAGGGGACGAGATGGACACACCCCATGGGACACCTGTGGCACCTGCGTGACACCTCTGTGTGTTACCTGCGGGCCACCTGTGTCCTGCCATGTTCTTATGTCCCCCATTCCCCATTGTCCTCCCCTCCATGTCCCCCTCAGGTCCCCAAGGCTTCCCTGTATCCCCCAGTCCTCTCAAGTTCCCCCCATCCTCCCCATATTCCCCAATTGTCCCTCATGTCCCCATTTTCCTTAATGTCCCCCATGTCCCCATGTGTCCCACAATGTCCCCCATGTCCCCTCATGTCCCCAGTGTCCTCCATGTCCCCAGTTCCCCTCCAATGTCCCCCATGTCCCCTCATGTCCCCATTTTTCCCAATGTCCCCCATGTCCCCCCAGGTCTCCATGTGCCCCACAATGTCCTCTCACATCCCTGATGTCCCCCATGTTCCCAGTTCCTCCCCATGTCCCCCCAGTGTCCCCCATGTCCTCCCAGGTCCCCCCATGTCCCCCCAGGTCCCCTTATGTCCCGATGTCCCCAATAAACGCTCTGCCACCACTACTGTCTCTCAGGCGTCTCTTTGCAACCGCGGGTGACACTTCCCCCAAACATGGCGGCCCCCTATGGCCGCCGCCATTGCTCTCCCCAGGCCGCTGCCATGCTGTGGGCGGGTACGCCCGTATCCGGAAGCGGAAGTTGGACACGCCCCCGCTTCCGGTCGTTGTTGGGCCTAGCCGGGAGCGTCTCTCGGAGGCGGCGACAGCGATGGTGGGGGGGGGGAACGGGGGGGGTGTGGGGGTCTCAGGGGGTCTGCGGTGTCTGGGGGACCCCCCCAGGCCCTGACACCCCCCGCCGTTACCCCCTCAGGACAGCGAATTCTCGGACGCGGAGGCGGCCCCGGGCGGGGAGGAGAACGCGCCGGTTTATTGCGTGTGCCGCAAGCCGGACATCAACTGCTTCATGATGTGAGGGGGGTTCTGGGGGGTCCCCAACTGCCTTATAGTGTGAGGGAGGGTCTGGGGGGTCCCCAAGTGCTTCATGGTGTGAGAGGGGGTCTGGGGGGGTCGCCAAGTGCTTCATGGTGTGTGGGGGAGCGGGGGGAGCGGGGTCCGCAACGGCTTCGGGATGTGAGGGAGGGTCTGGGGGGTCCCCGAGTGCTTCAGGATTTGAGGGAGGGTCTGGGGGGTCGCAGCAGATCTGAGGGGGCAGCAGAGTGGGGGCACAGGGCTGGGGGTCCCGGGTGCCTCTCAGCGTGGGAGTTGGGGATGTCCCGGCTTATCTGGGGGTGTTGGAGGGGGTCCCTTGAAGTGGGGAGGGGGTGCAGGGTCCTTTTGCGGGGGGCTTTGGGGGTGCCCGGCTGAGGGTCCCGGTGTCACCCCCGTCCCACAGCGGCTGTGACAACTGCAACGAGTGGTTCCATGGGGACTGCATCAACATCACCGAGCGCATGGCCAAGGCCATCCGCGAGTGGTACTGCCGGCAGTGCCGCGGTGAGAGGGGCGGGGGGCTCTGGGAGGGCGTGGGGGGCTTTGGGGGGGGCTCTGGGGGGCCATTTGGGAGTGGCAGTGCCACAGTGAGAGGGGCTGGGGCCTCTGTGGGGACTCTGGGAGGGTTTTGAGGGCCTCCAGGCGGCTTTGAGGGGCTCTGGGGGGCCATTTGGGAGTGGCAGTGCCACAGTGAGAGGGGCTGGGGCCTCTGTGGGGACTCTGGGAGGGTTTTGAGGGGCTCCAGGCGGCTTTGAGGGGCTCTGGGGGGCCATTTGGGAGTGGCAGTGTCACAGTGAGAGGGGCTGGGGGCTTTGGGGGGGCTCTGGGGGCCTATCTGGGAGTGTTGGGCTGCAGCGAGAGGGGCAGAGGGCTGATTTGGGGGGTTCCAGGGACACCTGAGGACTGGGTAGCTTTTCGGGGGGGTGTCTGGGTGGTTTTTGGAGTGCCTGGCCCCATTTTTGGGGTGTCTGACCTCAGATCAAGTGCTCAGCCCACATGTGCAGAGAATGTAAGGCGGGGCTGTCCCTGGTGGGATTTGGGGTGTCCCTGGTGGGATTTGGGGTGCCTGACCGCGTTTTTGGGGTGTCCCCGGTGGTGGACCCCCTGACCCCTCTGTGACCCCTCCCTCCCCAGAGAAGGACCCGTCCCTGGAGATCCGGTACCGGCACAAGAAATGGCGGGAGAAGGAGCACGAGGGGACCAAGGGGCAGGAGCTGGAGCAGGGCCGGGCTGCCAAGGTGGGCTCTGGTGGGGGGTCAGGGGATGGGGACCCCACAAAGGGGAAGACCCCAATTCTGGGGGGAGGCTGGGAGGTGCTTGAGTCCCTTGTGATGAGGGATTTGGGGGGCACCAGGGGGTTGGGGGATTCTTTGGGGGAGATCTGGGGGACCCCTGACCTTGTCTGGGTGCCTGGAATCCCTCCCAGCTTGGGTTTTGTGTTGTCCCTGGGTCTTTCTTGGGGTGTCTGACCCCGTTTTTGGGGTGTCTGACTCTAGATCAAGCACTCAACCTGCATTTGGGGGGTGCAAGGTGGGGGTTTCCCCGGTGGGATTTGGGGTATCCCTGGTGGGATTTGGGGTGTTCCTGGTGTTTTTGTTTCCAGGGTGCCTGACCCCATTTTTGGGGTGCCTTGACCCCAGATCAAGTGCTCGGCCCACATGTGCAGCAATTGCCAGGCAGCGGTGTCCCTGGTGGGATTTGAGGTGTCCCTGGTGGTTTTGGGGGTGCCTGACCCCATTTTCGGGGTGCCTGACCCCGTTTTTGGGGTGCCTGACCCCAGATCAAGCGCCCAGCTTGCATGTGCAGCGAGTGCGAGGCAGGAGTGTCCCTGGTGGGATTTGAGGTGCTTGACCCCATTTTCGGGGTTCCTGACCCCATTTTTGGTGTGCCTGATCCCATTTTCAGGGTGCCTGACCCCATTTTCGGGGTGCCTGCCCCCAGATCAAGTGCTCAGCTTGCATGTGCAGCGAGTGCGAGGCAGGAGTGTCCCTGGTGGGATTTGAGGTTCTTGACCCCATTTTTGGTGTGCCTTATCCCATTTTCGGGGTGCCTGACCCCATTTTCAGGGTGTCTGCCCCCAGATCAAGCGCTTGGCCCACATGTGCAGCGAGTGCGAGGCAGGAGTGTCCCCGGTGGGATTTGAGGTTCTTGACCCCATTTTTGGTGTGCCTTATCCGATTTTCGGGGTGCCTGACCCCATTTTCGGGGTGCCTGCCCCCAGATCAAGTGCTCAGCTTGCATGTGCAGCGAGTGCGAGGCAGGAGTGTCCCCGGTGGGATTTGAGGTTCTTGACCCCATTTTTGGTGTGCCTTATCCGATTTTCGGGGTGCCTGACCCCATTTTCGGGGTGCCTGCCCCCAGATCAAGTGCTCAGCTTGCATGTGCAGCGAGTGCGAGGCAGGGTTGTCCCTGGTGGGATTCGAGGTTCTTGACCCCATTTTCGGGGTGGGTGCCTGACCCCATTTTTGGGGTGCCTTACCCTGGTTTCGGGGTGTCTGCCCCCAGATCAAGCGCTCGGCCCGCATGTGCGGCGAGTGCGAGGCAGGGGTGTCCCTGGTGGGATTTGAGGTTCTTGACCCCATTTTCGGGGTGCCTGCCCCCAGATCAAGCGCTCGGCCCGCATGTGCGGCGAGTGCGAGGCGTGCCGGCGCCCCGAGGACTGCGGGCAGTGCGACTTCTGCCGGGACATGAAGAAATTTGGGGGCCCCAACAAGATCCGCCAGAAGTGCCGGCTGCGGCAGTGCCAGCTGCGGGCGCGGGTGAGCGGGCACCTGGCGTGTCCCCAGCTTGTCCCCAGTGTGTCCCCAACGTGTCCTTGGTGTGTGTTGGGAGTGGGGTGTGTCCCCTGTGTGGCGTGGCCTCAGTGCCTGCCAGGGCTGGGGGCGTTGGGGTGGCCTTGGTGTGTCCCTAGCGTGTCCCCAGCATGTCCCCAGTGTGGCTCTTTGTGGCTGTGTTCCTGTCATGTAGCCTCTGTCACCAGCTCGTGTCCCTTTGTCACCCTGTCCCATGTCCCTCTGTCACCGTGTCCCGTGCCCCTTGGTCACCGTGTCTCATGTTGTGACACATCGTTTGTCATTGTCTCGCCATGTCCTCGTGTGTCTTTGTCACTTTGTGCTATGTCCCTGATATGTCACTTTTCTGGCATGTCCCTGTGTCCCCCCTTCCTCACGTGTTCTGTGTCCCCAGCGAGCTGCTGCGTGTGTCCCTGTGTCACCCTGATGTTCGCCCAAGGTGTCTTGTGTCCCCAAGTGTCCCCTGTCCTTGTGTTCCCGTGTCTGTGTGTCACTGTCTCACAGTGTCCCCAAGTGTCCCCTGTCCTTGTGTTCCCGTGTCTGTGTGTCACTCTGTCAGCGTGTCCCCAACATGTCTTGTGTCCCCAAGTGTCCCACGCCCCTGCATGTCCCTGTGTCTGTGTCACCTTGTCCTGTGTCCCTGACACGTCTCCAAGGTGTTTTGCGTTCATAACTGTCCCATGTTCCTGTGCCACCGTGTCCCTGTGTCCCCATGTCCTTGTCCCCATGTCCCTGTGTCTCCACATCCCGTGTCCCTATGTCCCGTGTCCCTGTGTCACTGCCCTGTCCCTGATGTGTCCCCTCCATGTCCCCACAGGAGTCCTACAAGTACTTCCCCACCTCGGTGAGTCCCAGGGGCCCTGGGGGGAGGGGATGGAGGGGAGGGGGAGGGGAAAGGGGGACCCCAGACACCCCCCATCCCCGTCAGAAGGGCGTGGGGGCAGGGCCAGGCCTTGCTGGGGGGGGGGAGCACCCCAAAACCCTCAGTGCCCTTGGGGTGAGGGGGGGGCTCACAGGTACAGGGGGTGGGGGTGCCCAGGAATGTGCTGACCCCACCCAGTTAGTGCAGGGGGTCCCAGGGGTGCCATGAGGGGGTCCTGGGGGGGTCCCAGGATGCCATGGGGGGGTCCTGGGGGGTCCTAGGGGGTCCCTGGTGGGTGCTGACCCCCCCCCCCAACTGATGGGGGCATCCTGGGGGTGCCATCGGGGGGTCCCAGAGGTCCCTGGCAGTGTTGACTCCCCCCCACCTTGCAGCTTGCACAGGAAAAAAAGGGGGATCTCGAGGGGGGGTCCCAGGGGTGCCATGGGGGGGTGTCCCGGGGGGGTCCCAGGGGTTCCATGGGGGGGGCCCGGGGGTCCCTGGCGGTGCTGACCCCACCCCCAGCTGGCTCGGGGGCGTGAGGGGGACCTGGAGCTGCTGAAGGCGCAGCTGGGGGGGCCGGGGCCCCCCGAGAGCCTCTCGGATGAGGAGCTGCCCCTCGACCCCCGGCTCTACCAGGAGCTCTGCGCCGGCGCCTTCGACGAGCACGGCCTGGTGAGCCCCCAAAAACTGCCCCCCCGGGACCCCAAAAACTGCTCCCCCGGGACCCCAAAACTGCCCCCTGGCACCCAAAACTGCCCTGGGACCCCAAAGCTGACCTCCCCGGCACCCCAGAACTGCCCCAGGACCCCAGAACTGTTGCCTTGGGACTTGAAAACTGCCCCTCCTGAGACCCCAAAACTGCCCCCTTGGCATGCCAAGAACTGCCCCGGGACCCCAAAACTGTCCTCCAGGCACCCCAAATACCTCCTCAGGACCCCAGACCTGCCCCCCTGGGCACCCCAAAACCCACCAGGCACCCCAAATACCCCTCCAAATAGCACAGGAGCAGATTTGAATGAGGTTTTTGCACATCAGGGCCTGGTTTAGTGTGTTTAGGCCTGGTTTTAGGCTGTTCACAGGTGGTTTTGTGTGTCAAGGTGAGCTTCAGGTATATCATGACATGTCCTTGGTCCCTGTCTGGGCATGTCCCCAAATGTCCCCACGGGGGCTGTGCCCTGAGACGTGTCCTCAAATGTCCCTAGCGTGTCCTGGCACATCAGGACATGTCCCCATGGCACTCTGAGGCTTGTCAGGCGTGTCCCTGCATGTCCCCAGCGTGTCCTGGCACGTCCCCACACCGAGCCATGCGCCTGAGGCACCTCAGGCCACGTTGCCCCCTCGTGTCCCTTCACGGGCTACGCCCTGAGGCGCATCGGGGGTGTCACCCCACGTGTCCCCCACGTGTCCCCACGTGTCCCCATGTGTCCCTGGTCCTGCCAGCCCTGGCTCAGCGACGCCGAGGACGCGCCGTTCCTGGACCCCGTCCTGCGCAAACGCGCCGTGAAGGTCAAACACGTCAAACGCCGCGAGAAGAAATCCGACAAGAAGGTGAGGGCCACTGGGAGCTACTGGGAGGGCCACTGGGAGCTACTGGGAGGTTCCATGGGTCACTGGGAGGGCTCTGGGTGGTTGCTGGGTTACGAGCGGTGGTTACTGGGTGGTGACAGGTGGTTACTGGTGCTCACTGGTGTGGAAGGAGGGGTGGCGGAATGAGCACTGGGAGCTGCTGGGAGGTACTGGGAGGGTTCTGGGTGGTGACTGGTGCTAACTGGTGTGGAAGGAGGAGCGGTACAAGCGGCACCGGCAGCGGGCACGGCACTGGCGGTGCTGGCCTGTGAGTTGCGGTGACTGGGAGTTACTGGGAGGTAACTGATGCTGACTGGTGATTACTGGTGCAGAAGGATGAGCACTAAAAGCGGCACTGGCAGCGCTGGGCTATGAGTGGTGGTTAATGGGAGGTTACTGGTTTATGAGCGGTGGTTACTGGGAGGTTCCTGGTGCTAACTGGTTCTGACTGGTGCAGAAGGAGAGGTGCTACAAGCAGCACTGGCAGTGGGCACCGCACTGGGGGGGCTCTGGTGGTTACTGGGCTATGAGTGGTGATTACTGGGTGGTTACTGGGAGGTTACTGGTTCTCACTGGTGTTAACTGGTGCAGAAGGAGGAGCGCTACAGGCAGCACCGGCAGTGGGCACGACACCGCGAGCGCTGGGCTATGAGTGGTGGTTACTGGGAGCTACTGGTCTATGAGTGGTGGTGACTGAGTGATTTCTGGGTGATTACTGGGAGGTTACTGGTGCTAACTGGGGGTTACTGGTGCAGAAGGAGGAGCGCTACAAGCAGCACCGGCAGCGGGCACGGCACTGGCAGTGCTGGGCTGTGAGTGGTGGTTACTGGGAGGTTACTGGTCTATGAGTGGTGGTGACTGAGTGATTTCTGGGTGATTACTGGGTGATGACTGAGAGGTTACTGGTGCTAACTGGTGCAGAAGGAGGAGCGCTACAAGCAGCACCGGCAGCGGGCACGGCACTGGGAGGGCTCTGGTGGTTACTGGGTGGTGACTAGGAAGTTACTGGGAGGTTACTGGTGCTAACTGGGGGTTACTGGTGCAGAAGGAGGAGCGCTACAAGCGGCACCGGCAGCGGGCACGGCACTGGGAGGGCTCTGGTGGTTACTGGGAAGTTACTGGTTCTCACTGGTGTTAACTGGTGCAGAAGGAGGAGCGCTACAAGCGGCACCGAGCGCGCCGACGCCCGCGACCCCGCGGGGCTGGGGCAGTGCCTGGGCCCCGGCTGCACCCGCCCCGCGCGCCCGCCCTCCAAGTACTGCAGCGAGGCCTGCGGCATCAAACTGGCTGCCAAGTGAGTACCCACCAGTACGGACCAGTATAAACCAGTGCGGGACGGGACAGACCGGTACGGACTGGTATGAACTGGTACAGAACAGTACAGGCTGGTATAGACCAGTATAAACCAGAACAGAACAGTGCTGACTGCTGTAGTCCAGTACGGAATGTTAGAGGCTGGTATAGGCCAGTATAAACCAGTATAGAATGGCACAGACCAGTATAAACCAGTATGGAACAACACAGACCAGTATAAACCAATAATTATCAGTACAGACTGGTGCAAACCAGTATAGACTAGTATAAATCAGTACAGAATGATACCAACCAGTATAGGCCAGTATAAACCAGTACGCAATGGTGCAGACTGATATAGACCAGTGTAAACCCATATAGACCAGTATAAACCAGTTACATAAACAGATCCTGCCACAGTGATCCTGCAGTCCCCATTAACCCTTTCCTCACCCCGATCCCAGCCAGATCTACAAGATCCTGCCTCAGTGGATCCCACGGATCCTGCAGCCCCCATTAACCCTTTAGTCCCCGATGCCAGCCGGATCTATGAGATCCTGCCTCAGTGGATCCCAGGGATCTCAGGGCTGCCATTAACCCTTTCTTCCCCGATCCCAGGTGGATCTATGAGATCCTGCCTCAGTAGATCCCTGGGATCCTGCAGCCCCCATTAACCCTTTCCTCCCCCCGATGCCAGCTGGATCTACGAGATCCTACCACAGTGGATCCAGCAGTGGATCCCAGGGATCCTGCAGCCCCCATTAACCCTCTCCTCCCCCTGATGCCAGCCGGATCTACGAGATCCTGCCACAGCAGATCCCAGGGATCCTGAAGCCCCCATTAACCCTTTCCTCACCCCGATCCCAGCCAGATCTACAAGATCCTGCCTCAGTGGATCCCACGGATCCTGAAGCCCCCATTAACCCTTTAGTCCCCGATGCCAGCCGGATCTATGAGATCCTGCCTCAGTGGATCCCAGGGATCTCAGGGCTGCCATTAACCCTTTCTTCCCCGATCCCAGGTGGATCTATGAGATCCTGCCTCAGTGGATCCCAGGGATCTCAGGGCTGCCATTAACCCTTTCTTCCCCGATCCCAGGTGGATCTATGAGATCCTGCCGCAGTAGATCCCAGGGATCCTGCGGCCCCCATTAACCCTTTCCTCCCCCCGATGCCAGCTGGATCTACGAGATCCTGCCACAGCGGATCCCAGGGATCCTGCAGTCCCCATTAACCCTCTCCTCCCCCCGATGCCAGCCGGATCTACGAGATCCTGCCGCAGCGGATCCAGCAGTGGCAGCAGAGCCCGTGCGTGGCGGAGGAGCACGGCAAGCGGCTGCTGGAGCGCATCCGGCGCGAGCAGCACCAGGCGCGGCTGCGGCTGCAGGAGATGGAGCGGCGCTTCCACGAGCTCGAGGGGCTCATCGCCCGCGCCAAGGGGCACCCGCCCCGCGAGGACGAGGAGGTGGGCACCCCCCAGGGCTCGCAGAGGGCTGGGGACCCCAAAAACCCTTTAATTCTCCCTGTTTTGGGTCCCTCTTGAGATCCCCCTTGGTCCTACATGGACTCCTGGGTCCCCCCAAACCTTTTAATTCTCCCTGTTTTGGGTCCCTCTTGAGATCCCCCTTGGTCCTTCATGGACACCTGGGTGCCCCCAAATCTTTTTCCCCATTCTGGGTTTCTCTTGAACCCCTCTGCTCCTCTGGTACCCACATGCAGCTCCTGGAGGGTTGGGGACCCCAAAAACCCTTTAATTATCCCAGTTCTGGGTCCCTCTTGAGATGCCCCCTGATCTTTCATGGACTCCTGGGTGCCCCCAAACCATCGAGGCCCCCTTCACTGCCTTTCCCTGGATCCCCTCCAAAATCCCTGGGTCCATCCTGGATGCCCCCAACTCTTTAATTCCACCCATTCTGGTCCCCCCTGAGCCCCTGGGCATCCCCCAAATTTCTGAGTCCCTCCTGAACCTTGTCCTGGGTCCCCCCAAACCCCTCCCTGGAGCATCTGGGTGCCCCTGGAGTCCCCTAACCTTGTGTCCCCCCAATCCCTGGGTGCCCCTGTGGACCCCCTGATCCCGCTGTCCCCCCAGAGCACGGAGGGGGACAGCGAGGACACGGACCTGCAGATCTTCTGCGTGTCCTGTGGCCACCCCATCAACCCCAAGGTGGCCCTGCGGCACATGGAGCGCTGCTACGCCAAGGTGATCCCGGGATCTGGGGGGGGGAGGGGGGGCAGGACACCCTGGGGGAGCTTTCTGGGGTGGGGGGCAGGCCCCAGACCCCTAAAACCTCCTGGGAAGGGAGGGGCAGCACTCTGGGGAGGCTTTTCTGGGGTGGGGGTGTCACCCTGAGGGGGGAGCACCCAGGGGGGAGTTTGAGTGGGGGGTTGTGGCTGTCTGGGGGATGTCCCTCAGCCCTCTGCCCCCCCACCCCAGAACACCTCTCGTGTCCCCCCAGGGCCACCCGGCTGTTCTGTGACGTTTACAACCCCCAGAGCAAAACCTACTGCAAGAGGCTGCAGGTGCTGTGCCCCGAGCACTCCCGGGACCCCAAGGTGGGCACAGAACGAGGTTTTGGGGGGGTGGGGGCAGTGCCCAGGACACTCCTGGGACCCCAAAGTGGGCACAGAATGAGGTTTTGAGGGGTGGTGGCAGTGCCCCGAGCACTCCTGGGACCCCAAGGTGGGCACAGGGTGGCTTTGAGGGGCAGGGGTAGTGCCCAGGACACTCCTGGGACCCCAAAGTGGGCACAAGGGGGACAGGACATGGGCAGTGCCCAGGACAGTTTTGAGACCCCAAAGTGGGCACAGAATGAGATTTTGGGGTTGAATTTAGGGAATCTGTGCCCCGAGCACTCCTGGGACCCCAGGGTGGACATGAAGGGACAGGACATGGGCAGCGCCCAGGACACTGCCAGGACCCCAGGGTGGCCGTGGAGGTGGCAGAGGGGCTCTGGGCGTCCCCAGCCCTGCTGACCCCGTGCCCGCCCAGGTGCCCGCGGACGAGGTGTGCGGGTGCCCGCTGGTGCGCGACGTCTTCGAGCTGACCGGGGACTTCTGCCGCGTCCCCAAGCGCAAGTGCCACCGCCACTACTGCTGGGAGAAGCTGCGCCGCGCCGAGGTGGACCTGGAGCGCGTCCGCGTGGTGGGTGCCACCGCCCCGTGTCCCCAGAGTGTCCCCAAAGTGTCCCTGTCGCTGTCCCTGTCCCCCCGCAGTGGTACAAGCTGTTTGAGCAGTGTCCCTGTCCCCATGCTGTCTCTGTCCCCGCACCGTTCCTGTCCCTGCACTGTCCTTGTCCCCACAGGGTGTGTCCCCACGCTGTCCCTGTCGCTGTCCCCACTCTGTCCCCACACTGTCCCTGTCCCCACTCTGTCCCCATGCTGTCCCCACGCTGTCCCTGTCCCTGCATTGTCTCTGTCCCCACGCTGTGTCTATCCCCACTGTCCCCACAGTGGTACAAACTGGATGAGCTGCTCGAGCAGGACAGTGTCCCTGTCCCCACCCTGTCCCCACTGTCCCCACCCTGTCCCCACGCTGTCCCCACGCTGTCCCTGTCCCCACACTGTCCCCACCCTGTCCCTGTCTCCACACTGTCCCTGTCCCCCCACTGTTCCTGTCCCTGTCCCCACGCTGTCCCTGTCCCTGCAGTGGGACAAGCTTGACAAGCTGTTGGAGCAGGACAGTGTCCCTGTCCCCACCCTGTCCCCACTGTCCCCACCCTGTCCCCACGCTGTCCCCACGCTGTCCCTGTCCCCACACTGTCTCCACACTGTCCCCACCCTGTCCCTGTCTCCACACTGTCCCTGTCCCCCCACTGTTCCTGTCCCTGTCCCCACGCTGTCCCTGTCCCTGCAGTGGGACAAGCTTGACAAGCTGTTGGAGCAGGACAGTGTCCCTGTCCCCACCCTGTCCCCACTGTCCCCACCCTGTCCCCACGCTGTCCCCACGCTGTCCCTGTCCCCACACTGTCTCCACACTGTCCCCACCCTGTCCCTGTCTCCACACTGTCCCTGTCCCCCCACTGTTCCTGTCCCTGTCCCCACGCTGTCCCTGTCCCTGCAGTGGGACAAGCTTGACAAGCTGTTGGAGCAGGACAGTGTCCCTGTCCCCACCCTGTCCCCACTGTCCCCACCCTGTCCCCACGCTGTCCCCACGCTGTCCCTGTCCCCACACTGTCTCCACACTGTCCCCACCCTGTCCCTGTCTCCACACTGTCCCTGTCCCCACACTGTTCCTGTCCCTGTCCCCACGCTGTCCCTGTCCCTGCAGTGGTACAAGCTTGACAAGCTGTTGGAGCAGGACAGTGTCCCTGTCCCCACCCTGTCCCCTCACTGTCCCTGTCCCCACAGTGGTACAAGCTGGACGAGCTGTTTGAGCAGGACAGCGTCCCTGTCCCCACACTGTTCCTGTCCCCACACTGTCCCTGTCCCCACGCTGTCCCCACACTGTCCCTGTCCCCGTCCCCGCAGTGGTACAAGCTGGACGAGCTGTTTGAGCAGGACAGTGTCCCTGTTCCTGTCCCCACCCTGTCCCCACCCTGTCCCCACGCTGTCCCTGTCCCCACGCTGTCCCTGTCCCTGTCCCCACGCTGTCCCTGTCCCCGCAGTGGTACAAGCTGGACGAGCTGTTCGAGCAGGAGCGCAACGTGCGGGCGGCCATGACGAACCGGGCGGGGCTGCTGGCGCTGATGCTGCACCAGACCATCCAGCACGACCCGCTGACCACGGACCTGCGCTCGGACCGCTGACCACGGCCTGCCTCAGGCCGCTGACCGCCCCCAGAGCCCCAAAACCCCCCCAGACCCCTCCCTACGTCCCCCCACCCCTGATTCCTGGGTGCTTCCCCGTCCCCAAATAAACAGGGTGTGCAAAAAGTCTGGGGGTGTCTCTGGGCTGTCCGTGGGATTCGTGGGGTCATCCAGGGGATATAGGGGAGCTCCTGTGGGGTCTTTGGGATCCTGGGGGTCCCTTTAGGAGGAATTTCCGGAGCCTCTGGGTTCTGGTACCACCCCAGACCCTGCAGAGGCTGTGGGGATCCCTTCGCTGGCCTTGGGGGTGGCTGGGGGGGGGTCCTGAGAAGGCTGGGGGGTCATTAGGGGTCCCTGGCGGTTTTGGGGGATCCTTTGGGGGGGGTCCTGGGAGGAAATGGGAGCAGCATCCATGGGGGGCTGGCAGGGGTCCCTGGCGGTTTTGGGGGGTGCTTTGGGGGGGGATCCTAAGGGGAAATGGGAGCAGCATCCGTGGGGGGGCTGGGAGGGGTCCCTGGCGGTTTTGGGGGGGTTCTGGGCAGGGGAAAGGGCTCCAATGGGCCCCAGGGGAACTATCCGGGCTCATTAGCATAGCCACGCCTACGCGTTTGTTCATTAACATATGTCCGCCCTCCTGTCGTCACGTGCCCCGCGGTCACGTGCCTCCCCCTCTCCACGGGTGGCGTATCGCCCCGCCCCTCCCTGGTTTTGCCGTTTCTCATTGGTCCACTTCGCTTCACGTGATTCACAGTCCCCGCCCTCTGCTTTTCCCGCCCGGCATTTCCGCTTCCGGCGCGGGGCCCCGCCCCCTCCGCCCCCCGCGGCCTCGCGGCGTCGCCAGAGGAAGAGGAGGAGGAAGAGGAGGAGGAAGAGGAAGAGCTGCGCCACAGGCGGGGGCGGATGGGAACGGTGAGGGGCCGGAGGGCTGCGGGACCGCAGCGGGTTTGAGAGAGGAGCGGGGAGCGAGAGGGATCATAGCGGGGAGACGCGGCCGGTGGGGAAGGGCGGGCCGTGAGGGGGGCGGCTGGGAGGGAGGTTGCGTAGGGGAAGGGGCGTGAGGGAGGGGGAATTTGGGGCAGTTTGTGAGGGGGAGGGACTGTTTGTGAGGGGAAGGGGCAGTTTGGTGGGGGAGGGGAGGATGGAGTCACGTGGGGAGGGGGGCGCGGCCCCGCTGTGTTTGGGGGCGGGGTCCGGCGGTGTTTGGGCTCTCGGGGCGGGTCGTGACCCCCTCCCCACCCCCTCCCCGGGGGTCTCAGCCCCCCCGCAGGATGGCGGAGGGCTGGGCCGAGTGCCCGGCGCTGGGCCCGGGCTGGCAGCGCCGCGAAGCTTTTCGGAAATCCGGGGCTACCAGCGGCCGCAGCGACACCTACTACAGGAGGTGCTCCTCCCCAAAAACCCCCAGCGCCCCCCTCCCACCCCCTCGGGACTGCGGGTGGGGCCGGTTCTGCCCTTTCTCCCTCCTAGACCCCATCCCGTGTCCATTTGAGGGCTTTCCCCCCACTGCCCCGTGGTGTTTCCTGGGGGATTTCAGAGCCCCTCTCCCATCTCCCCCTCCAGGGTCTCCCCAGGGCCACCTCCGTGCCCCTTTCCCCAAATATTCCCAGTCCCCTCCAATTTCTCCAGGATGATTTGGGGCTCGGGGGGTCCTTTTTGAGCGTTTTGGGGTCTCCTGAGCTCTGTTTGTTCCCCCTTTCCCATTCTCCCTTTGGCATTTGGGGGCTCCCCCGGGCTCAGCGGTCCCTGTGGGGTTTTGGGGCCGTTCCTGGGGATTTTGGGGCCCGTCTGACCCGACTCCCCGGCAGCCCCACGGGGCAGAAGTTCCGCAGTAAGATCGAGCTGCGGCGGTTCCTGGGCCCCGGGCACGACCTCAGCAACTTCGACTTCAAATCGGGGCTGCAGCGACCTGGCCCCACCCAGGTAAGGGGGATGGGAACCGGGAGGGGCCCTAAAAACCACGGGGGGGGCACGGGGGGGGGGGGGGCGGGGAAACCTGGAGCTCTCCTGAGAGGGGAACCCCATAACAAGAATGGAATTGGGAGTGGAATAAAGAGGTGGGGTAAAAGGGGCTCCTCAAAATGAGGGAAATAAGGTTGAGGTGACCCTAAATTGGGGATGGGGGGGGGGGAACAAGGGGTCTTTAAATTTGGGAGGAGCAGTAATGGGGGTTTTGAAGTGGGGGAGGGGTCACAAGGGGTTTTTGTGACCCCTCTCATTTTCTGCTTTTCAGGCCAGGAAGAGCCCCAAATGGCATCTGCCCACCGAGCCCCTCCCAGAGCCCCCCGAAATCTTCAAAAAGGAGGAAGAGGAGGTGGAAGTGGAGGTGGAGGTGGAGGTGGGCGGGGCTGAGACCGAGAAGACCCCACCCTCATCAGTTCAGGCCCTGCCCATCCCTGTCCAGGCCACGCCTCTGACTCTCCAGGCCACACCCCCTTCCGTTGAGGCCACGCCCTCTCCGGCCGTGGCCACGCCCTCACTGGAGCCCCCCCATCGCAGGACCCGGAAGCGGCTGCCCCTGGAGCCCCCCCAGGATGGGGTGGTGGCGTGAGTGGGGGAGGGGTCAGGGGTCCATGGGGGGTCGTGGGGTCCTCCAGGTCTGGGGGAAGGGGTCTCCTGGAGCTCTTGGTCTCAGGATCAGGGGGTGACCCCAGGAGGGAGGGATTGGGGTCCCTGGGGGGAGTTTGGGGGGTTCCCTCAGGGGGGTTGCGGGATCTTAGGGGCAGTGGGGGTGTTGGGGTCCCCCCGGCACCCCCCAAAATGCTGCCCCCTCCTCCACAGGCTTTGTGCTGGCTGCCAGAGCCTCTTCCCGGGGGTGTCCCTGCCCCCCCAGCGCCGCTGCCGCTGGCTCTGCCCCGACTGCCGTGGTGAGCTTCGGCCTCAGAGCCCTCCTCCTCATCCTCTTCCTGCTCCTCCTCATCCTCTTCATGCTCCTCATTGTCTCAGCCTTTCTCCCACCTTCCTCAGCTCTCTCAGAGCTTTTTCTGTTTTATTCTCTTCCTCATTTTCCTGTTCTCTTTGTCCTTCATTCCCTGGGGTTTTCCCTCTCCATCATCATCATCGTTCCTTGAATTTCTTCAGCCTCATAATTAGCATTTTAATCCTCTGGAACTTCTTGTTCCTCCTTCTTCTCCCTGATTCTCCCCTGCCTCCTTTTCCCTGTTTTGGACCATTCTGGAGAGGAAGGGATCTTGAAGGAGTTTGGGAGGGGGGTCAGGGGGGAATCCCAGAAAAGTTGGGGTGACCCTGACCCCCTTCCTCCACCTCCCCCAGCCCAGAGACGAAACTTCAACCGGGAGCAGCGATTCTACAAGGTACCCCCGATCCCTCAGGGGGGTCAAACGGTGCCCTTGGGCATTCCCCCGATCCCTCAGGGGGTTTGGGGAGCCCCCCCAGAGCCCTGACACCCCCTCCCCACAGCGGGTGGGCTGTGGCACGTGCCAGGCCTGTCGCATCCCCGAGGACTGCGGGATCTGCAGCGCCTGCGCCCGCAACCCCCCCGGGGGCCCCTCCGGGCCCGGCCGGACCCCCAAGTGCCTCCTGCGCCGCTGCCTGCGCATCGTCAAGAAGGTACCGGCACCCCCTTGTCACTGTCACCCCCCTCGGTGTCACCCGCACCCCCCCAGTGTCACCAGCACCCCCTTGTCACTGTCACCCCCCTCGGTGTCACCAGCATCCCCCTCGTGCCACCAGCACCCCCTTGTCACTGTCACCCCCCTCGGTGTCACCAGCACCCCCCCAGTGTCACCAGCACCCCCTTGTCACTGTCACCCCCCTCGGTGTCACCAGTACCCCCCCAGTGTCACCAGCACCCCCTTGTCACTGTCACCCCCCTCGGTGTCACCAGCACCCCCCAGTGTCACCAGCACCCCCTTGTCACTGTCACCCCCCTCGGTGTCACCAGCATCCCCCATGTCAGTGCCACACCCCTCGTATCACTGCAATCCTCCCTCTCCCAGTGTCACTGTCGCCCCCACCACTGTCGCCTCCCCAAGCGCTCCGAGCCGGTCTCAGGAGCTGGGGTCCCCCTCGGTGTCACCAGCATCCCCCATGTCAGTGCCACACCCCTCGTATCACTGCAATCCTCCCTCTCCCAGTGTCACTGTCGCCCCCACCACTGTCACCCCCCGAAGTGTCACCAGCACCCCCCCTGTGCCACCAGCACCCCCTTGTCATTGTCACCCCCCCTCGGTGTCACCAGCACCCCCCAGTGTCAGTGTCAACCCCCCCAATGTCACCATAATCCTCCCTCTCCCCGTGTCGCTGTCACCTCCTGTGTCACCACAAGGCTGTGTGCCCCCTGTGTCACTTGTCACCTCCATGTCCTCTTGTTCATTGTCTGAGCATGCACGTGGTGCTTAGTTAATTAACATTTATCTGTGTTAATTAACATTACCAGTGTTACCACGTGTGGCTGATACCCCACGTTATTGTACGTTATCATGTGTTATCCCTGTTATCTCACTTTTTTTTGTGTTATTCCACTCTGCTCTTGGTTATCCACATTATTCCATGTTCCCTGAAGGGCCTGGATGTGGCTCCTGGCCTGTCCCTCTGTCCCCCTGTCCCTTATCTGTGGCAGCACATCCACCCATGTCCAATATCCTCCCACGTTATCCCATGTTTACCCATGTTATCCCATATTTTTCCACTTTATTCTGTGTTATTCCATGTCCTGCCCGTGTCCCCACAGAGCCTGGGCTGCAGCTCCTGCCTTGTCCCCTGTCCCTCTGTCCCTTGTCTGTGGCTGCATCTTCACCCATGTCCTTTTATATCCCCCCCATGTTATCCCATTTTATTTTATATTTCCCTGTATTATCCCATATTACCACATAGTTATGGGATTTTCCCATCTTTTCCCTTGATTTTTTTGCATGTTTTTCCCCATGTTTTTTCCCCGTGTTTTTTCCCTGTTTTCTTCCCATGTTTCCCCATATTTTCCTGTTTCCCTGTATTGGTTTCCCATGTTTTTCCCCCTGTTTTCCCTGCTCTCACGGGTAACCCCCCTGTCCCCGCAGGGCCTGGGCTGCGGTTCCTGCGCCGGCTGCCTGAGCACCGAGGACTGCGGCAGCTGCTGCATCTGCCTGCGGCGCCTGCAGCCCGGCCTCAAGCGCCAGTGGCGCTGCCTGCGGCGCCGCTGCCTGCGCCCCAAGGTGGGACTGACCCCCGGAGCCCCCCAGTGTCCCTCCTGCCATCCCCGACCTTCCCTGGGCTTCCCAGAGCCCCCCCATGTCCCCCCTATCATCCCCGACCTTCCCTGGGCCCCCCAGAGCCTCTCAGTGTCCCTCCTGCCATCCCCGACCTTCCTTGGGACCCCCCCGCTCTCCCCTTCTCGCTCCTGCCCCGGTGTCACCCTGGGGTGTCCCCTCACCCGTTGTCCCCTGCTGACGCCCCCCACCCTGTGTCCCCCCAGAAAGCCAGGGTGGCCAAGAAGCCGCAGAGCCCCCGGCTCCTGACAGAGGTGAGTGCGGGACCCCCGGGCAGTGGCACAGCGCAGACCCCCGGGTGTTTCGGGGGAGGGGGGACCCCAGGGTGCCCCCCTCAGCCCCATTTCTCCCTCCAGAAGTGGAAGCCCCTCGTGGAGCGGGAGCCCAGCGACGCCTCCAGCGCCAGGCACAGAGTGAGTGGGACCCCCGTGGGCACACCTGGGCACACCTGGAACCCCCAGCCCCCCCCACAAACCCCCCCTCCCTCCCAGAAGCTGCTGACCAAGGGCAAGGAGAAGAAGAAGCCGGGGCGACCCCCGAAGGCCCCTGGGCCCCGCGGGGTGAGTGACAGGCCTTGGCCCCGCCCCATGTATGTTAGCCCCGCCCTTCCACAGTGGCCACGCCCCTTCCAGAGCAGCTATTGGGGCAGGGGGGGAGCCGTAATGCCCTTAATATAGGGGGCTGTAAAAGGGGGCAGTATTGGGGTGCAGGTACCGTAATGATCCTAGTGGCTGTTCCAGCCCCTAATGCTGATGATCAGGATTCAGGATAACAGTGCAGATACCGTAATTTTCCTAAAAGTTGTGCTAGCCACTAATACTGGGGTTCAGGCCTTGCAATAATGGGGTGCAGGTACCATAATGATCCTATGAGCTGTTCCAAGGCTCAGCACATTCAAACCTCACTAATTGTGGGGTGCCAGTAGCATAATACCCCTAATACTGGGGCCAGGTCACTGTGACACCCCAAAAACTGTTTGCAGCTGATGCACAGTGTGAGCAACCCTGGCTGTGGGGTTGCAGCACTGCAATGCTCCAAATAATGGGGTTCAGGTACCCCAAAACCCCTCAGAGCAGGGTTTGGTTACCATAATTCTCCTAATACTCACTATGGGTTTAATAGTAGGACCCAAGGTACCAACAGTGGGATGCAGATACTGTAATGCCCCAAATATTGGGGCTCAGATACCGTAATGCCTCTAATAGCAGGGCTCATACTGTAATCCCTCTAATAGCGGGGTGCAGATACCGTGATGCCCCAAATACTGGGGCTCAGATACCGTAATGCCTCTAATAGCTGCTCCTACCGGAATGTCTGCCTTGTGCCTAACCCGCTGCTGCTGCCTGGCTGCCGTAATACCCCTAATACTGCCGCATCTACCGTAACTCTCCTAATAGCTGCTCCCACGCTAACACCACGCCACCGGGCAGGCCCTGGGGACACTCCCTGCGGCGGGCCCTGGGGACACTTGGGGACCCGGGGGTGACGCTGCTCTCTGCCGGCAGCGGGGGGTGCGGAGCCGGGCCAGCCGGCGCTGCGGGGTGTGCGCAGCCTGCCGGCGCCCGGCCGACTGCGGCCGCTGTGACTTCTGCCGGGACAAGCCCAAATTCGGGGGGCAGAACCTCAAGCGCCAGAAGTGCCGCTGGAGGCAGTGCCTGCGCTGTGCCATGGTGGGTGCCCCCCAGTGCTTCCTCCCAGTGCCTCCCAGTAACCTCCCAGCGAGTCCCAGTCATCCCCCCCGCCCCCTTTCCTCAGCGACCCGACTCCTTCGGCTGGGGAAACTGAGGCACGCACAAGGTTCAGGCTCCCCCGGCCGCCCCGGCGCTGGGTGCGGCCCAGTTTGGACCAGTATGGACAAGTTTGGGTGGGAGGGGGGCGTTGGTCGGCACCCAGCTGGCACCTGGACGCTTGGGTCCTGTTTTTTGGGGGGAGGGGGTTGCCTGGACGCCTGGGTCCTTCCTGCATTGCTTGGCTTTGGGGAGCTCACCCTGGGTTCCTTTTGGGGGGGACGGGTGGGGGTCCCTCAACCAGCCAGGCCCACCTGGGGGGGGGTTCTTCCTGCATTTGTGCTTGTCCCCCCAAAATCCACATCCCCCTCCCCTTGGAACTGCCCCACCCGCTCTGAGGTCTCTCTCCTGGCGCAGAGGCGGCTGCTGCCGGTGGGGGGGGGTCGCTGGGGGCCCCCCTGGAGCGGCCGCCCCCTCCCCCTGTCCAGGCCCACCCCCACGGGACCCTCACCCCCCTCATCCCCCCCTTTGCTGCGCTTGCTTTGCTGCTTTGCTCTGCACGGACCCTCCCCCCTCGGGGGGACCCAGGCATCGGGGGAGGGGACCAAGGTGTCCCCACGCCCCCCCCCTCCCCCCACCCTGCGGGAGGGGCTTTGGAGGGTTTTGGGGACCCCCAGATGCCTCGGTCCCCTCCTCCGTGACCCCAAGGCTTGTGTGTGCCTCAGTTTCCCCACGGGGGATGAGGTGGGGGAGTCCTCTGCAGACACCTGGGTCCCTTTTTGGGGGGTGGGGGGCTTCCTCCTGGATACCTGGGGGGGGTCTCACCTGGCTGCCCTGACCTGCCCCTCCCCCACAGGAGAAGGAGGAGCTGCTGGGGGGGGCTGAGAACGGCCCCAGGCCCATCCTGGGCCCCCCCCTGCGACTCTGCCCCATCAAGGAGGAGGCGGGACCCCTCCCCCGCCTCGAGGTGAGACCCCCCGGCTGCCTGGGACCCTCCCTGGACACCTGGGACCCCCCTGTGACCCCCCCTGCCCCCCAGGACCCTCGCCTGGGGCTCCTCATCGCCTCGGCCCCCCGCCTCAAAGGGGCCCCCCCGGAGCCCAGCGTCGCCCCCCAAAGGGTGAGTGGGACCCCAAACACCCCCTGAGCCTCCTCGGGGTGTCTAGGACCCCCATAACGCCCCTGCTCCCCATTTTGCAGCCCCCCCCCGGGGATTTGGGGGTCCTGATCGCCGCCACCCCCCGTGTGAAGCAGGAGCCGCCCCAGCCCAGCGCGTCCCTGGTGCCGGTAAGGGGTGGGGGGCCCTGGGGTTTGGGGGCGTCCCTGCGGTTTGGGGGGGATCCTGAGCCTCTGCTTTCACCCCCAGGTGCCCCCCCAGCACCCCCCTGCACAGCTGGTGGTGCTGGATGAGAGTGAGGAGGAGGAGGAGGAAGAGGAGGAGGAGGGCAGCAGCCGAGTGGTGAGGAAGAGGGGGGGGATTCCTCGGGGAGGGGGGAGTCAGAGGATTTGGGGAGGGTCCTGAGGAACCTGGGGGGCTCCTGGGGTGGGGGGTATTTATTGCGTGTCCTGGGGGGGGCTTTAGAGGGAATTTGGGGAGAGGGGTGTGAGAAATGTGAACTTTAGGGAGGAGTTCAGGGTCCTGGTGAGCTGGGGAAGGGATTTTTGGGAGGGGGAGGTTTTTGGGGTCCTGTTAATTTGGGGAAGGGATTTTTGGGAGGGGGGAGGTTTTTGGGATCCTGGTGAGCTGGGGAAGGGATTTTTGGGAGGGGGGAGGTTTTTGGGGTCCTGTTAATTTGGGGAAGGGATTTTTGGGAGGGGGAGGTTTTTGGGGTCTGGTGAGTTCTGGAAAGGACTCTGGGGCTGATCCTTGGGTTTTTTGAGGGGCTCTCAAAGCAAGGGGGTTTACAAGGAGGTTCCTGCTGGCTGGGGGGGGTTCTTGGGGGGGCTCTAAGTGTTCCCCCCACCCCATTAACCCCTTCTCCCCCACAGCCCTTCCCTCTACCCCCCGCTCCCCAGCTCTGGCCCGGCTCCTTCCTGGAGGAACTGGCCGAGATTCCCCTCCCGGCTCACTGGGGGGTCGTGGGGGCTGACGGTGGTCCCGGGCCGTGCCCGGCGCGGGGGCTGCGGCTGGTGCAGCGCTGCCCCCGCTCCTCCATGGCCGCGGCCGCCGTGCTGCTCAACCCGGGCTTGGCTTTCCGCGTCTTGGTCGCCCGCGGCCGCCCGGTGCCCCCCGGGCACGAGGTGCTGGCCCGGCGCCCCCCCCTGCGCTCCGTGCTGGACCTGGTGGAGCTGCTCTGCGACCTCGAGGCCTACGGGCCCTGCCCGGGACCCCCGGCCCGGCCCCCCGCCCCCCGCTGCCATGTCCTGGTGAGGGGGGGGCGCTGCTGCCGGCCCTGCCAGATGCTGGCAGGGGAGGGG